ATTGTTAATCCTGACTTTGTGGTACAGACTCTTTTAGGAGATGATACCTCGCCAATTCCAAAGAACGGCTTGGAAAAGCTTAGAACCTCCATGTCCGAATCGCAGGTCCCAGTCAGATCCCTAGATGGAACAGTTACCTACCAGCCGTTGAACATGGAGGCCGACGACGTCGATCATCTGATCCGAATGCTTCGTTTCGCCGTGAGCAGCCTCACCAGCGTCGTTAATGTGCCAGAGAAACCCAAGACTCCTGAACAGCAGCAGGTGGTAGCCCCTGAGCCTGTGAAAGTTCTTCAGCCCCAGCCCCAAGAACCCGCCGCTGAATCGGTTATCGGAAAGTGGGCATACCTGGAACTACAACGACGCCAGGCGCCGTCCGTTTACTCCTCGCCATATGCACCCGGGTTTGGGTTCTCGGATTATGCCAAGGGGGAATATGGACTAGTAGGAACTCCGCAATTACCTCGAAAAGAGCCTTTAGCAGCGGATTATTTTGCTAAGCTATCTCCAGAAGACCAGGAAAAGATAGTCCAGGCATGTGGGCCGGTTCCCCCAGCCTCGGAAAACTTCTCAACACTGGATGGCTCGATAATAGCAACACATAGCCCGGCAAACCAAAACCTCCTATTCCCTTCGACGGAACCTGCTGCGCCTAATATATCCGCGGCCATGGTCCCAGATAGCCATCTCCACCCACTTTCCGCCTTCGACATGACTCTCCGCGCCGACTCCCCCGCCTCAAGTTTTAACCGTGTCCCACTGCACTACCAATCTCCTCAGGAATATGGTAGCCACCTAGACAACGAGTCCTCCTTACTTCCACGTCATCTACACGACCATCACGATCTCTTCGGCGACCAACAAGCAAACACACGGTTTTGGCAGCGAAGTGTTCCGTGGAATGACGTTGACACTCCATCCCATGATGAGGAGCATAGACCTTTTTTTGGGCCTCATCTACGCCCTCCAGGTCATGAATATGCTTCATCGGACATGGAATTTGGAAAGGGGCCTGGGTCACTCCATTCAATGGATATGGCTGGGTTCGGTTTCGATGGCCCAGATGATCTTCTTCCGGATCCAAGTCCATAAACCTGTCTACCTACTGCCTGAACATTCGTGCTGTATTTGATTACTCTGCCTGTAATGGCGTGCATATATCTCGGAACTTGCGCATGTTTCTATCCTACGGGTGCTTCTTTGCCTTCGTTAAATATGTTTTATGATAGAACATTTTTGTTTCCTTTTTGAATTTCATTTGTTGCCTGTCGCCAATTGGCTTAATTTCGGCAATATCGTCCTTTTACCACTGTCCAGTAGTGCTGGGCGGGATAATTTTCTTTCACCCATGGTTTCCTTACAGCACTTGAACCGGAACACCAAAAACCTACCTATCCACTCTTTGGCTCCTTTACCTTCTTACTCGACGGCGAAGAAAGCAAAACTTCAACAACACTTGACTCCCGGATACCGTCTCTACAGTTTTGACCGAACAACTTCAACAATGCTACGGAAAAAAATCCTTACCGCCCATCCAACCCATGCACGACAATGATAATTGTTTTCTCCCGTCAATACCGCCCATGAACGCACGACAATACCATTACGAATATCAAAGTCCCCTTTCACCCCTTGTGTACATTTGAGTTTCTGAAGCGTTTCGTCCCTACGATAGTCACTATCCCCCGTTCTTCCCCAAAAATAAAGACAAAAAGCCTGTTTTCATGACCCTTGTTGAATTTCTCATACAATCCACCTACTTCCCTACCGTCCTACCAATGCCTTCCACTGACCCTTCACCCTTCACCGGGCATGCGCGAACACAGTCCGTCTCGCAGTGGTTTTCGCAAAGGGGTCTACAGAGAAACCATACCTATACCCCGTCCTCTAGCTCGCACTGTCTGATTTCCCCGCCGATTTACCTTAGAACCTCTCCCTTTCAACTAACATCTGTTTGCTTATTCTATGTCCCATCCTTGGATTGTGGTCCTTCTTCATTTCCGTTGCCTCTTTTGTTTCTTCTTCTATCTTCCGCGTATCCATGACCGAGATAAATCCGAAATGGACACATGGAGATAGAAGTCTGGTAACGACAATGTAAAAGGCCGTCAGGGAAGGAAAATGGGATTCATCAAAATAAGCGCCTGTTTCTTAAGGCACACCCAAAAACAATAAATTTTTTTCTTCAACTTCTCCTTTCCCCGTAAATGCGTTGTAATTTCATATTTAGGTCCAATGATTGCACCTATACATGGTGTTACCCGGGTATTGAGCACATGACTAACCGAACTACATAGACTAGAGAATTCAATGGGCGTGGAGAGCGCGCACAACAATAGTATATAATTATAACTAAATCCTCAAGCTTCACTACACCTCTTTATCAGCAGTGAACGGGGAATCGGGAAGTGTCTATTTAAATGCCACAGTCGTATAGTAGTTAATTTTCACCGACCGGGATATTGAAATTTTGTATAGAAGACAAATTCAGGACATTTAAAGCATATCATTCTCCATCCTCCTTTATCTTTTCCAAAATATTCAATCTACCAAATCTTCCTTTTGCATTGCTAAGAAAGGGAGATAAACTGTCTCCATGGTTTGATAGGTGCCTAATAAAAATGTCGTACTTCAGAAGCACAATCTTTCGACATCGAAGAGGTAATAACAACGGCTCTCCTGATGATGAAGGCCGGGATAATCCGCATGAAAATCAACGTCGTCTGGCGACGGAAGGTGGAAGTAAGGAGTTAGGGTCTCCGGCGCTAGAAGAGCATCCCGGAAATATCAAACAAAGTATTAACGCTGTACAGTCGTTTCTTGCTGCACGTCTGGCCATGAAATGCTAATCATGTGCATCAAATATTACAGAAAACTTTTTTGTCCGGGACTGGATTCGTCGTTGGTCTGAAGGGGCTAGAGGCAATCCCGCAAAAGGATGTTATGTTTGTGCAGCGACCTGCTCCAGCTGCAGAGCTCTGACTTGCCTTGGTTGCGGTAACAAAGTTCGCAACTCCAAGAATCCCCATGAGATCGAAGGGTATTACATGGCCTGGTGTTGTCATGATGGGAGGCTGTTTGGGATATGGCTTCTGCTGGCAAGATATGACCGGGTTGAGATACGCTAGCAGACATCCTCGTCAGCAACAGAGAATAAACAGCCCCCAGCCGGAAATATATTTACGGCCCGAGCCAACGAAAGACACAGGATGCCAGAGGGATTGGGTATGCGCATGACAGTATGGGCTGCTATAGCCCGTTTACAGCTTTCTTCCATGACGGGCCAGGGTTTCAGCCGGTATATTTAAACAGGCCTTTGCAGTTTTACGGCAGTGACGAGAAAGAAGATGAGTTTGCAGCTAAGGTATTCGACTTTGTTAGTCGGATGATCCCTGGACCCACGAGCAAGAATCTTCCTTCTGAGCTACATGCAATGTTGCAGCTTGGATTGCTCTTGGACAAGGTTGCAGACTTACTCAGAAATGATTCTCTGGATGATGTAATGAAGCGCAGCCATGTGTATAAAGCGGCGTTTGGACTTGTTTCGAAGCTGAGTTCACACCCTGAGCTAATCGACCTTGCCAAATGTGCTAGATATCGTAAACAACAAACTCCCGGCCTTGAAATTCTTTCTTCATCGAAGCCTCAGCAGTATGATAGCTCTCCACTCATTTTAGGAGAAAAGATAGCCTCGGTTGGCGAGAGATTGAAGCAGCTAGCACGTCAGAGCAAGATTGTCCTTGAGTCTGCTGAAAGTCAAGATCTTAATACAAGGAGTGGAGAAGATCTACTTCTCTGCTGTGAGAGTGTTCTTTCCCTTTATTCAGTCATATCAGCAGATCAGGAGGGCACTGGAATGCGTACAACAGTAAGCCCACAGGAAAAGTGGGAAGCTTTTCACCAGGAGCATGGGGTTTCCCGCGATGAGGGAGTCTTTGATCGGACCCATGCATACTATAGTAAAGCTATATCTATGACGTATTCGAACCCAGGGCGGATCAAGCGAATGGTCACTGAGGTAGCCAACATGTCAACATCTCTGCCGATTGGGATCTTCGTCAAAGTTAGTGAAAGTCGGCCGGATGTTATGAAATGTCTTATAATGGGGCCACCCGATAGCCCATATGGGTATGCGCTCTTTGAGTAAGTTCTGGACATGCTGCCAATTTAGGGCTTTGAAGGGTAGCTGATCTTGGCTAGATTTGATTTGATTTGTCCTCCAGCATACCCAAGTCAGCCCTCCTCAAGTGCATTGTAGAACAGCTGTTGGTAAAACAATTAATTCAAATCTTCACCCAGATGGTAAAGGTGAGTTGGAAAGTATCAACAGAATATACTGTTGAGGAGAATCAGTAACTAGGGAGGTAGGAGGCATAGGGCTAACATTTGAGCAGTGTGCCTCTCGCTTCACGGGACATGGCGTGATGGCGATGCTGCGGCGCAATGGCAACCAGGCAAATCAACAATCTTGTCCGTGCTGATTAGCATCCAAGCAATGATTTTCACAGAAGACCCTTGGCGTAATGAGCCGGCCTACACTAGTGCAGGAGGCACAATGTGATATACGCGCTCGGCGATACGTGGAGAAGATTCAGCCCTAGATAGTCACTGCTGGGATCTTGAATTGGTTGACGCAGCCCAGACATAGATACGGAATCTGGCAAAACGAGGTTCGGGCGCACTTCAGGTACAACAAAGCAAATATATTGGCAAAGGTGGACAAGTGGGCGAATGAAAACCCTGTACTTAAATTTCGAGGTATCGTCCAAGAGTTGAAGTTAGCGATAGAGGATATCAACAGACGTTGAGAGAATAACCCTGAGTTCTTGACGGCCAGATATTCTAAATGTTTGTCCCAATTTGAAATATGGCAGGTAGAATAACAAACATGGGTATCAAGTCGTTCTGGAGATCCTTAATGCAAAACATCAGATTTCAGTGTTGAATTTTGCTGGTTGGAGTTCTCGATAGCGAGTACCCACAATAAAAAATAGGGTTTGGGGGCCAAGAAGTTTAATTTATCTGCACATTACCTAGTTGGTTAGGTTAGGTCTATTTATAACTTGCTTTTATATCCAGGCCAGTTTACAGCTCTTTTCTCTACCTTATATAGAATACAAATGGGGGAGGGTATCCCATAATAAATAATTGTCTGTCTTCCCCGTTTTTTTATTCTTTTTTCTTTCCTTTTTATTTTTTCCAAAGATTATTACTATATAGTTTATTACCAGTTGTGTAGTTGTGTGGGAGAAATAATAAGTATCAAACTAGTAATTAAGTACCACTAGCAAACTGTACTATGTAAACTCTCTATCATACTAGGTGCTTTGATTCAAATTTAGTAGAGCCTCTACAATGATTGTTTTACAGTTGACTGTATATAGCAAGTGCTGTTGATAAATTTCCGGACTAGGTACGGTACTTATACCCATCTGGAAACCCCGCCCAGTCATTCTATACCGCTATTTTTTACACTGGCTGATTTCATTTTAATAAAGATATATGTGTCTAACAATTATTTACGAGTTTATTTAGCATTATACCTTAAATAAGAAGCAATATGGTCTATCTATCGGATACTTTATCTCTAAGCAGATGATTACTAGCAATAGCAATACCAATTGGTAAAGTGTTTGAGCGTATGGGATCATCAATCTTTGATCCAGGAATAATCAATGACTCAAAGAAAAGAAATCAAATAGCAGAATTTTTGAACAAGTTTGTAATATACAAAGACCTGGGCCAGGCACCGGCAGTCTGCTAGTTCCTAAAAGCCGCAGGATCCCCTTAACGGGAGTTCTGCTCGTTTGCTCACTAGTTAAAATAAATAATAATTCTTTCAACTCATGTATACTAAAATATGCATGCAATATTCCATCATAGTTGTTCTTTCTTAGGTACACAAGGCTAAGTATGTATAAATCCCTTCTGCATCATCAACTGTTCAATAGGCAGTTTTTTTGGAATATTTTTGTCCCAGATCACAGAGGTATCCTTTTAACACTATCTTTAAACGGATAATACGCGTCGATTTCTGTCATATTCCTGCCTATCTGATCTGTATCTGATCCTTCACCTGAAGTTGCGCCAACCACTATGAATGCTTCAACCAAAGATAAACAGATTCTATTCTGTTCCATATTTATTTCTCTGACGTGGTTTTCCATTCTCTTGGGGTATCTAGTCAAAATTCATCAAGGATGCCACTCGATTTTGACTATTGTCACCGCCGCCATGTGTCTAGTCGGGCTTATATCTTCATTCGCCACAATATGGTTGGACGTCTCCTCCATGTACTATAAATTGCGGAAACAAAGACTTGGTAAGTTTTCTCCTCCATCATTCTATGTGTGGGCTTCACAGCTAAGAATATTTGGCATTAGGACGCCAACTCCGGTATGGAGAGAGCCTGAAAGCAGGCCAGAAAGATTCCAGCAAGTCTTCAAACGAATGCCGAAAGCGTTGACGTCAGCCCACTAGAAGGAGTCAGGAACCTATCAACCCCGAGTCCCGCCCCTGTTATTAGTTGTCTAATGGCCGGATATCTGGTTTATCGGCGCTTTCCTGGTTATCAAGAGTGATGAAGCCTCCAATAATTTCTCCATACGATGTCGCCACTCTCTCGGCAACTCTGTTGTTGACTCGGCATCCGAGTGCTCGTATTTATCGTCCGACCGCTTGGAGACGCTGGGGGGTTTAATCTAAGCGCACTAGTTAGTAGCAGCAGAAAAGAATGTCTCTTCATCATAATAAGGCCTGAATCGCCCTGTGTTCCTCTGCTGGCCAGACCGTAGGGTTGTACGTAATATCGCAGTTGTCAAGCTGAAGATATCACAGGAGTTAGTTAAACTAGTTACAAGGTCCATCCTTGGAGGCGACAAGACAAAGCGAAGAAAAGCTATCTGGGGACTTTTACCGAGCCGGCCGCAAGACGGGGATCCCACCTTTGAAGAGGAGCAGAAGAGCGTCTCTCCTCTCTCGTCCTCCAAGCTACCTCGCATCTTCTGGCGCACTGCTCCCATATCCTGCTCACTTCATGGGACACCCAGCTAATCAGCCTGCTTGACCGCTTCGGCCCTCCCCAGAAGATGACGAAAGCACCGGCGGAGGATGGAGCGAGGATACGGAGGGCGTCTGAGGACGCAAATGCGAACGCTGCCTTAGCGAAGATGGGATATAAGAGCGAGCTTCCTCGCAATCTGGGGATGATGAGCGTTCTCGGACTGTAGGTGCTCTCGTCCTCCCTCGCTGTCTCTTTCTATGCGTTTGTTATTTGAGTTCTCCCAGCTAACTTACCGCTTTGTTCGACGGATACAGGTCTTTCGCTATCATGGCAGCACCCTTTGGGCTGAGCACGACACTATATATTACTCTTACTGACGGGCAGTCGGTTACTATAATTTGGGGCTGGGTGATCGTCACCCTAATCTCGACCGCCATTGCAGCCTCACTCTCTGAGATCTGCTCTGTATACCCAACTGCTGGGGGTGTGTACTATTGGAGTGCGATGCTGTCCACCCGCGAGTGGGCGCCCCTGATGTCCTTCATTGATGGCTGGCTGACGCTCGTGGGGAATTGGACAGTGACTTTGAGCATCAACTTCTCCGGCGGCCAGTTGATTCTGAGTGCGATTTCACTCTGGAAGGAAGACTTTGTACCGAATCAATGGCAGACGATCTTGATGTTCTGGGCTGTTATGCTTGTGTGCGCCCTGGTAAACATATTTGGATCGCGGTATCTCGATCTTATTAATAAAATATGCATTTTTTGGACTGCGTCCAGTGTGCTGATAATCATGGTCACTTTGCTCTCCTTGGCTGATCATCGGAGGAGTGGAAAATTCGTCTTTACGCACTATGATGCAACTGCTAGCGGATGGTAACTAACTATACATGCACCTCCCTTTACTTCTTTTAGACATTTAATTGTGGCTCGTTATGTCTAATGTTCCGTTTGCTCAAAACTAGGCCGACGGGATGGGCGTTTTTTGTCGGTTTGCTGCAACCAGCTTACACGTTGACGGGCTACGGGATGGTTGCAGCCATGTGCGAGGAAACACAGAATCCACACCGAGAGGTCCCAAAAGCAATTGTCCTATCCGTCGTTGCAGCTGGTATAACTGGCCTGGTGTACCTCATTACCCTGCTCTTCGTTCTCCCGGAAGTTAAAATGCTCCTATCGGTTGCCAATGGCCAACCCATCGGCCTTCTATTCAAGACAGTTACTGGCTCCGCAGCAGGCGGTTTTGGCATGCTCTTTTTAATCATGGGAATCCAGATATTTGCTGGAATTGGCGCACTTACGGCAGCAAGCCGTTGCACATATGCCTTTGCCCGTGATGGTGCCATCCCAGGGTCTCGGGTCTGGAAGCAGGTAAGTAGCCGTTTTGGTGTTCCGTTATGGGGTATCATTCTCTCAACTCTAGTGGACTGTCTCCTTGGGTTGATCTACTTTGGCTCTGCAGCAGCCTTCAATTCCTTTACCGGTGTGGCTACGATATGCTTATCAACTTCGTATGGCTTACCAATTTTGATATCCCTGGTTCGCCGTCGAAAAATGTTTGAGAATGCCCCTTTTTCACTGGGGAAATTTGGATTCTTGATCAACATGACCACAATATGTTGGATATGTTTCTCTACTTTCCTTTTCTGCCTCCCGGTGTCCTTACCCGTGACGCCATCTAGTATGAACTATGCGAGCGTTGTATTCGCCGGGTTTGCCTCTATTAGTGTGGTATGGTACTTTGTTAGGGCACGTAAGGCATTTACAGGGCCCCCGATGTCTATGGATGACGCTAGGAAAGACGAAGCGGGTGTTTTTTCTGGTAAAATGGCCCCTCATATGGAGGACGGGGCTGCTCCCCTGGACCTCTCCAAACCAGCAGAAGTGCATGTGGAACATCAAGCCAAGTTCAACCGGTAATGTTAATAATGAGAATATTTTTCGATTTATCTTTCCAAAAAATTATCATTGGTTAATGATATAGTGTCCCTCCAGTGGTCATTTGATGCCTTCTCCATACCTTATCCCATGTCTGCCTGGTTATAAGCCGTGGTTACGCCTGGCTAAAACACCGAGGACATGAGCTATGGCAAATTGACTCAATAATGAAAGTATCTGTAAGGATTAAAGGAGCCCGCAAATTACATAGGAAATGACATTAGGCAATCCTGTCAATGCCTTGAAAAGGAAATTGGACTAAACATTCTCGTATTATTAGATAGTCAGTTATCACGTCTTTGATGCAAAAGGAGACACTCCACTCGACGCTTGCCTTTATGCATGCATGGGCTATGGATCCATAGCATGTAGCCACTTACTTAGTGATGTCTAGTAATGGAGCGAACGAGTCGCGAAATTCCTGTGTAAACCATGAAGGCTGCGCGAATCCCATAACTAGATTTGGAGGCTAGATCGCCAACTGTGAATTCGTGGATCTTCATCTTCACCACCCTGGCATCACACAAGGCAGGGGGCCTTTCAGGGGAAGTTGGCAGTTGGTGCATTGGATCAGCCAGCCAGCGATGTCCGAAGATATAGCGCATCAACTACTCCTCCGTCTAAGCGTGTCTCTTGCTCGCCTTTAATTAGCGCACAAAAAGGGGCGAATGGACTCCACATGGCCTGGTTTATTAATGATGCGCATTATTATTATTAGGTAGTATTATTATCATCCGCTACGCCATTGTCTTCTGTCATTCAACGCCAGAAGTCAGCCGAGGGCCGAGCAGCAGCTCTTTATATCCAGCACCGGGCACCCACTTTTTGGCCGCCTTTCTATTCCACAGTCGTCGTTTGATTTTAAGTGAAACAAAGTAAAAGAAAACCGGTTGCCCCTACATGTCCGTCCGTGAGAGAGTATCCCAGGTAGCCGGCATTATGGAACCAGGCTGGAAATCTCCAAACGAATTGCCTTGGGATCCAGACAATACCAAATTCCCTACCCGCAAAAATCTGCCCGATATCCCCGGAGCTCCCAAGGGTGCTGCCTGGGTTTGGGGTAAAGATGATAGCGTATGTGTACCATCCTTAGTTAGATATTCTACAGTTAGTTAGTTACTAAAGCTGACTGTCATCGTAGATTGGGAGATTGAATCTGCTCACTCCGGCTCGTGTCAAGGCCGCTGCTACTGAGATCAAAACTGGACAACTTGTTCCTCTAGAGTGAGTACCTGCAGCGCAGAACATGCGGGGGAGAAAGCGAACTGATGCTGTAGAATAGTTTGCCCTTCAATGTTCCAGAGACTCCAGGCTTTGCCCGAGAGAAGTTCGTGCATACTATCAAGACGATTGTTGAAGGAATCGCCTACGATGATATATATGAATTTAATACCCAGTGTGGAACGCAGTGGGATGGATTTCGACACGTGAAGCATTATAGTCCCGTCTCCTTAAATATGATGTTCTGATCTAACGAGTTCTTTCATCGACAGTTTGCTCATCTGGCCTCTGCCAAATTTTATAACGGCGTAAGCGTCCTCTCTGCGAACTATATCATTGGATATGTAACCACTAACCTCTACAAACAGATAAAAGGGGAAGACATAGTAGGCCCAAATGCCAACAATAAATGCAGTATTCATCACTGGGCCGAGCACGGCATTGCTGGTCGAGGAGTCCTACTCGATTATAGATCCTATGCAAAAGCCAACGGGATTGACTACGACCCTTATAGCGCACATGCCATTACATACGAAGACTTAGTCAAGTGTGGGAGAGCCCAAGGCATCGATATCCGACCAGAAGCCCAAGGCGGAGATATAAAAGTTGGCGATATCCTACTGATCCGATCAGGATGGGTTGAAAGCTACCACGAACGCAGCCCGGAGGAGCGCAAGGATCTTGCTCTCAGGCCACACTCAGCCGGACCTGACGATGGACAAAAGTATGCTGGTGTTGCACAAGAAGATGATATGCTCGACTGGCTGCATGATTGTTACTTTGCGGCTGTTGCTGGAGATGCACCGGCCTTTGAGCGCTGGCCAACCCCCGTATCGTACTATCTGCATGAATACATCCTTGCCCTGTGGGGGATGCCACTTGGTGAGATGTGGGATCTCGAGAGGCTTGCGAAGAAATGCCGTGAGACAGGCCGTTGGTTTTTCTTCTTGACAAGTGCGCCGTTCAACGTCCTAGGTGAGTTACACGCAAAATTTTATGTACTTCTTTTTACCTCTAGAATAATTCCTCCAGGCTAACCCTTGGTGATATGTAGCCGGAGTGGGTACCAGGCCGAATTCAACAGCTATTTTCTAATTCCACCTAAGAAGGACTAGGACATTGGATGTTTTGCAGATAATATAGTAAATCCGGCGATTGTCACAGACTATTTGCAGATCCCTATTTTCACGTTGAGACAGTCGCACAGCCCTTCTACACAAATAACGTACAACCAGTAGCTATCCATTATTCTTTAGTCGAACAAGTTCTTCTCAAGCTAGAACCTTCTCCACGGCGGCACGATATGCTTCCATTGCAATGTCACCCAATTCCTTTCCCAAGCTGATCCTTCTAACACCCATATCAGTTAGCTCTTTCACGGTCAAGTAGCCCGGCCCTGTCTTCAACCTTGCATTCCAAAGACCATCAAATGCATTAACACACATCTGCCCTTCCTCCTTAGACACTCCACGTCCATGGCTACCGCCCCAAATGAAGATACAAAAGGCACCAGCCTCCATGAAGGCTTTACCCCGTGAAATAGCTTCTTCTATTGTCCCACCGTGCCCCAAGACGTCTGTTCGTGCATTGATAACGAAATCAGGGACCCCAAGCTCAGCGGCTTTGGCCATGACTCTTTTAATGCGGTCCACAGCTTGGGGTAAAGGCATGCATTGCCCAGTTTCATTATCTTCGTCTTCGAGGTTACATCCCACCACGCCAGCTTCAATCAGTGAAGTGATTGTCTCCTCGAGTCGGTCTCCCCATCCGTCACGCATGTCAATGGAAAGTGGGATGGGGTTGCTGTTGTTTCTGGCTGATACGTGGCGGTTGATTACACCAACTATATCTTTGGCCGCCATGGCAAGCATCTCCGGTTCAAGCTCTTCGTCTGGCTTCCCGTGTACTGCTGCAACAGCAAAACTGCTCGTCGCTAAGGCTTTGGCCGAATATTCACCATTGCTTCCTTTGTGGCTAAGGACAATGTCTGCGGTTCGGCCGTCATATACATTGCAAAGAACAAGAGGGTTGCCTTTCCTGTGAAGGCTACGGAGGAAGAGTGCTCGGTCGTTCTGGGACATGTCTGCGAGGAGTGATATGATGATGCTCTATTTCCGAGCCGCTTTCAATACCAGCTAGACAAAATATTTCCTGTCTGTCGAATTGGAAGAAGAAACCCTCTTCATCTTGAAAGTGAAGGACGGTGGGCCTATTTATGTCCATGGCAGCTTCATCGCCGGCTCTCTCATCTGACATCCCATTTGATATATCTGCCACAATAAACACTATCAGCAGTGTGACTCACTCAGCCTCCACATCGCCGGAACACGGCAAGTCGTATCCCTTCTCCCTCGCGTCCCTTTCCCGCCCGTCGCTTTTTTGTCTCGCTTCCTTGCGTTTTCCCCGCAGAAACTGACGTGGCCGGAGAGAGCAAAAAGTGGAACGCGAAGAGAACGCGATATCACGTGATATGAAGGCCTTTAATTGGTTTTTTTTTTTTTTTTGGTTAACTTTCTTCGGCAGCAACTTCAACATCAAGCGTCAAAATACGAGAAAGACGAGGGAGTCAAAGAGGATGGTTTGATGCTTGAGACCAGATTGAGGGTTTCCAGGGAACGTGAAGACCTATAGGAACCACCGAAACTCTTCCACTGCTGGTCCTTCTCGCAATCTCTTGGTTGGGACGTCCCTCGCCGACGTTTTGACACCTGCTCGGCGGTTACGTCGGCGATTATCCCATGCCATATAGAGGCCGAGAAGGACAGTAATGCAGGCACCAGTTGCACCGAAGATGGCGGTGGTGATCAATGCCGGCTCGAATTTTGGGCTGTCCTTCTCGCGGAAGATGTTGCTGCTCACTAACCCCATGAGATTGGCCATCGGGACTCCCACAGATGTGAGAAGGATACGACGCCCCTCATGAGCCATATTGTTGTTATACCATGCGCTTAGCAGCACTGAGGGTGCAGATGTGCCCCATGTCATCATAAATGCGCCAAAGTATGCGAGTCGTATGTTGTTCTTGATATCGTCGATTGAGGCATAGATCATAAACCCGCTGAAGCTAAGGAGGAATCCCAAAACAATGAACGGCGAGCGCAGTCTGGTAGCATCCGAACTAAACGCTAGGATGAGAAGCATGACTGTCCCGGTACAGTTTGGTGCTACGGTATATAGGTTTGTCTTAACTGTTCCGTAGCCTAGCCGGTGTATGATCTGGGGCAAAAACAAGGCAACAGACTGCAAAGGAACGCCGAGGCAGATCTCAATCAGGATAAAGCAGTATGAAGTTGGCTGTTTGAATACTCCGAGTGCATCCCTGAAAGAAAATTTTTCATTGACAACAGAGGACGAATCAACCTGTATCCGGTGGAATGCGAGTTTTTTTTCCTGCGCAGTGAGAAAACTTGCTTGCGCTGGCGTGTGAGGGAGATACCAGAATGCAAATATAGAGAAGCATACTGTGCATGCTCCCTCAATAAGAAAAAGGTAACGCCACCCTTCCAATCTTGTGCTGGGGAGTTGGAAGACTGCAAACGCAACCAAACCGGAAAACGCGTTTGCAATATTCGACGCAGCATAAAAGATGGCAAGACGCCGTGCCAGCTCTCCCCGTCGGTAGAAGGTGGTAAGGTAATAAATTACCAACGGGAGAAAGGCTGATTCGGCCATTCCCAATAGCCAACGAACTGCAAACAAGCCGCCGAAGTTGTGGACAGCAGCAGAGAGAAGCGTCAGAGATCCAAAACAGAACATGCATATTGGTAAAACGCGAGCGGGACCGTACTTTTTGCCTATCATGGCGATTGAAGGCGCAAAGATCACATAGGGAATGAAGAATATCGACAGCAATAGGTTGTATTCTCCATCCGCGAAACCGAGGTCTATCAAAAAATCGACGGGGTTAGCTCTGAGAGCAATAAAGTAAGGACCGCTGCCAATAGTAAATACGTACCCTCGCTGAGCCCGTTGGTTTGCGCATTTCCAATGTTTGCTTTGTCCAGTGCATTGAAAAGATCTGCCTCGGCCCCTGTCAGCAGATGAAGCAGATGGAACAGCAGACATACACATCACCGCCAGCACGGGCAGAAGCCGAATATCTATCCGAGAACAGAGTATCCTCTCTTGTTCGTATTCAATGGTTTGGACCATTGCATCATCCCCATCATCGCCATCATCAACCGCAGCTGGTTCTTGACTATCCTTGGCTGGGGTCTCACAGCTTTTCTCAGGGTGGCTGTCGTTGGCCAACTCAATATCTGCTCTGGGGCTGTGTCTGGGTAGGATGGTATCGGCCATTGGCATCGCTCAATTTAAATAACGCAGATAAAATGATATATCGAGAGGGTGAGAGGGTGAGATGTGGCTTGGTGAGGAAGCCTGATAGACTAGAGCGTCTGTTTTTGGTCAAAGAAAGGAGAGGTGCCCACTGGAGAAGCTTGACACCACCATCACATTGCCTATCATGCAGCTGTAGGGAAACACAGCTGATATTTCAGTCATGACATGATCCATGGTTCATTATCTCTGACTGTCAGACATCATTATGCAAGATAGCATAGACTATCTATGGAGCGGCCTCCCTGGCAGGGTCTATTCTCTTAGTTAGTTTTCCTCCCTAAGATGGTCATCCCTAAATTTCCATGAAGGTACAATGAGAATAGAAACTGGAAGATAGATCCATGATTCTATAAAGGGAAGTAATCGATAAAGCATTGTTTGAATTCGTGGAGACCCTGGAATATATAATCACAATGATGTATAAAGTTATCAAAATGCCACAGATCAACTCGATTACTAGAAAGGTTGAACACCAGAAGATAACGCCAATTTCCGAAATTAGAATACGTCGGATATATTAAATGTTTCACTTTCTGTTGTTCAATCTCAAGAGGTAGCACATCTATTTCGAACAAGGCCAACTGTATGCTTTGTCCTGAGTATCTCTCAATACCCAGGGTATGCCAATGCTTAAGGACAGCTTCCTAGCGCCAAACCCAGACATACTGCATTGCGAGCCATGGCCGAGACTGAGTATATTCCTTTTCTGTGACGCTTGGGCAGGCACAAAGGCCCCATGGTCGGTAGGATACCTAATAGCCTTTAGATGGTTCAATCAAGCAAACGATATCCGGTTTGCCTGCCTGTGGCTAAGGGATGCATATGCCATCCCCTCCAAGAAAACAAGGTAACACTCGAGCACCAGCCTCTCTCAGCATCCGGGTGTACTCTTTGACCCCCTGGTGCAAGGCTATTAAGCTCCATTAATCGTGATCAGCGTATGTGGCCGAAAAACCAGTGTATCAAAAATAGACCGGGCAATGGAATTGATTCCAGGGTTGGCCAGTCAACCGTTTCGGGGACAAGGGTATAGAGTTATGCCGGTGTTTTGCCGTTGCAAGCTGCGTTGACATCACGATACATGACATCATTGGCTGTGCCTTCAATCTAGATGATCGACAACCTCGCCAGCAGGAAACCCAGACGGGTTTTTCGCTCCTGAAAAGTGGTATGGGGTCCACGGCTGCAGCTGCCGTAAGATGTGAAAAGGCATAGTAGTGCATTATTAGTTAGTATATAAATGATTTCAAGTGCATGGGAGCCAGATAGGGGCTTCTCATACATTGCACTAACTACCCCGGGAAGAGGGTCTTTGGGGCTCAGCCTATATAAAATGCACGTTAGCCATTAGCTATACGTGCTCTGGTTAGCTTGGGAAGGGATGGATTAATGTCAAAGCCCAAGGGCAAGTAGAGTAATGTATTTATAGTTATCCCATTGCTACAGTCGAGCATTGCTGCCGATGCCTGCAGATGTTCGTGCAGTGCATCCCGCGTGCTCCGTGTATCCTGGTCCCCTAGCACTGGGGCCTGTTGTCGTTGTGTATATGCATGTTTCCTCGAGGTAGAGGTACCCGCTGGCCACCTGGCATATAGCCCCTTGTCCATATCCATGCAAAGCTCTCCTCACTGCCTCTCAACCTAATGCCTAACGACCAGGTCCACGGCTCTCCTTGAGCATGACAGCAACACCCTGCGCTTGATATAAGGGTCCCCTCCCACCCCCCATAGTCATCTGCATCTGGTCTGACGCAAGAGAAACCTGCTGCAGCCTGTTTGGCGCCCGAGTCTCTCGTAGAAGGCCGCTGTGACTGCTCCGGATACAGCAGATCCCATGCATAGGATACGTATATGCATTTGTCCCTCATCTCCTCTCTTTGTCTGCTTCTCACTTAGCTTCTCCCAAGTTGATGTCTGCTCCAGCCTGATCATGTTGGTAGTAAGCTGGCGGGCTCTGTTGCTGCAGGCTCGCCAAAGCCCGGCCTCCTTCGCTTCTCCATGTCTCCTGTCCGTTCAAGCCCCCTGCCCTGCCCTGCCCTGCCCTGCCCTGCGCTGAGCTGAGCTGAGCTCTGCATCGACTTCTGGGCCCCCTTTTTTACCTCCACTGCGTCCTCCTTGTGCGATTACTTTTTTCTTTTCAAGGTCGACCCCCACACAACGCGGGACGGAGCCATAGCTGCGGGTTTCCCAGCAAACTTTGTTTCCCTCAGGCTGGATATTGAGTTTTATGTGGCTTTTTGTTACATCGTTTGGTTAACGTACAAGCAAGTAGAGCGGCTGAGCGAGAGAGTCCTCCAAACATAGCGTGGGGGACCAAAAGACTTGGTTTCGAGTTGTGGATATGGAGAATCACTCGGTGGTTAGTTATCGAAGGGAAAAAAATTTAAAAGGGGGAAGGTAGAGATGATGTCTATTAACAAGTTACTAACTATCGCTCCCAAGCCAGGCATATTGAACCAGACACCAGACAAAAAACCAGAAAGCCAAATCAAAGAGAGGAAACAGGTAGGGGTTTTTTTCTTAAAAAAAAAAAAAAACAAAAAAGGGGGTGTGAAACAACAAAGGCCAAGAAAAGAAAAGAAAGACCGAGGAAAGACAAAATAGAGGCCGTTAGTAGAGGTGATATCGACCAGGGAAAGGGGCGGAGTGTACAGCTACAACGCCCTCTCAAAGTCAACTAACTCCTTGAACTGTGCACTATACGCATCCCTGGTCTCTTTTGTTGGCCTTGGGAGAGGGCGTCTCGCATATCCTCCATATCCAAAGTGCGACTGCATTGCTGACTTGATACCGACCACGCCGCTCTTGATGGCAGCCCAGTCGCCTCTGGATAGGATGTCCTGCACCTCACGGGCCGCATCCATCTTGCCATCAGCGTACAGGCTCAGCAGCAGCATGCATGTCTTGGGTGCTAGATTCGCAATTCCCCCGATGATTCCAGACCCCCCACCGATCATGGTCTGGAGCGTAAAGTCGCCGGATCCTCCAAAGCAGAGGAATGTGTTGCTGCTGGCATTGCCATTGTTGATACTAGCCATTTTAGTACTCTTGTGCGTTGCTCGCTGGGCTGTGGCAACGCGGTTGAGCTTGCCCGTATTTCCACAGGTGAACTTACACCCCACGATATTGGGATGCTTGCTAAGGGCGATGATGGTGTCCGAGTCCAGATCAAGCCCCGAAGCGGCAACGGGGTAGTTGTATATCACGATCGGGATGGGAGAGGCGTCAGCTACATCTGTGAAGAATTGCATAATCGTATCGGCCGCGAACAATCCCCGGTAATACGAGGGAGCAAGTACTAGGGCAAAGTCCCCCCCGCTTGCATATGCATCGCAACAGAGCTGGATGGTTTCGCGCGTCGACTGGGCACTGCAGCCAACCATTAGTGGCATGCTAGTGTAGCCTGCGCTGTCAAGAGCCTGGCGGGTATTTTCTGTGACCAATTTCCGCTCCTCGGGGGACAGGTGTATGGCCTCACCGTTAGAGCCGTGGACGGTAATGCCCGTCACGCCAGCCTCAGCCAGTCTTACTGCATGCTTTGCTGTCGCAGAGAGGTCTACGTCCTCAGTGCTAGGATCAAAGACGCAAACTGTTGGGACATAGAAGCCAGGAATGAGGGTGCGGATCCCCTTAGTGACTGGCTGCAGGCTACTCCGGTCCATGACGCCGTCACCGTTATGCATCGGAGGCATTGTTGGTAAGGATGAAGGGGACGAAACAGAGGGTAGAGTTGACGGCATCCAAACTTGAACACGGATACAAAGTTTTATACTTATGGATGGAGTGACTGGCAATCGAAATACAACAAAAAGGGCTGAGTAATAATGCTGCGCGCTTGAGGGAATCGGAGAAGGTATCAAGAGGAACCGGAGCCGTCAACCGTGACCCCAACCGGTCATATATCAACCGTTGCAATAAGGAGTAAGACGTGTCAGAGGAAGTTGAGTGAGGGAGCTTGTATAGATGAAGGGAATAATGATAGGGGAACCAAAAAGGAAAAAGGATCAAGATATATCCCCTGGTTATATATGCATCCACTCTGCGCGCACCAACCCTGAAGGAAGGAGAGAAATAAATTAAAAAAAAAGTGTCAAAGGTCTCGGGAATCCAAAACTGTTGGAAGGGAGCTAATCAAGCTCGGCGTTCGAGGCGTGAATTGCGGAGAGCTGCCGGGCCCTACATGTCATGACGGATTATGCCCAACCAAGGGACCTGAAAACGAGGGACAGAGCTAAAAAAAAATAAAAATAAATAAAAATAAAATAAAGGTGGTGGGAAAAGAAAGAAGACGAAGAAGAAAAGAACCCAAAGTCAGGGAAAGGCTTGAAGCGAATCACAAGGCCAAAATATCGGTGAAAGGATAGCGTGGAAGGCCATGCTTGTCAAGGCCAAACTTAGCTCACGATCCGGTTGATTAGCATGGTTGCGTTTTATCATTATATTATTTTTGTGCAAAACTACATGCTTGAGGACCTCCCGTATATACGGAGCGTCCGTGGGGTGCGCGCGGCTTGTGGGTACTCCTTTTGGGTACTCCGTGCCAGCCAGAGTGTGTTTGTCGGCGGCCATCACAGCCCATGGTCACTGGAGACGGGTCCATTTTTGCATGTCGGAGAAGTCGGAGTCATAGCAGTTGGATGTTTGTTGACATTATTGCTCTTTCTTTGCCTCGCCCCTTTTTTCCTGGGCAGTTCCCTAGTGACAGGATTCTGAGTTAGCTTTTTGCACTGCAAGATCTGGGCGGACAAGATGGACAAGACAAAAAAAGAAAAGGAGCCGGAATCAGAGAATGAGAATGAGAGAAAAAAGAAAAGCAAACAGATACACCGTGGAGAAAAGCCGCAGGTTGGATCATCGAGGTAATACCAATATATAATCGTCAAGGGAGAACAGCAGGAGAGAGACGAAGCCTGATGTCTAATTCGTTGGAGCAAACGAGGAAAAGAGCTTGAAACGGCTATTTTTCAGTTCTGCCCTCTATCCTTGCTATTATCTTTGCTTTTTTCAGCCCGCCCTGAGAGGGTTCGGAGCCCCCCATGGTATGATACCATCGGAGCGTCTTCAGGTTATCGGGTAGCGTACGGAGTACATCTTCTCTGTCAGGTTGACGGGGGGGGCTCTCGGTTGCGATTGTTCCACGATGCATGACAAACATCGGCTCCATAAAACTATAGTTAGTTAAAGTGATAAGCCTATTAGTTATCAAGGACCTCGGTTAAGGATCTTTGGTTCCCCGTATCTTCTTTCTTTTTTCCCCTTTTTAGTGGTTGCTGAAGAATTTGGTTAGCTAATAAGTATTATTGCACGGAAGGGGCTTGTCCAGCTAAGAAGCTGGCGCAGGAGAAGAATGGACGAAAAGAATTCTAGAAAGAAATGGTATCAATGAAGGATTCTCCGGAGATACTCCAGATTAAGACATCAGTGCATCCAACCCATGAGCGTGGGATGCGATGTACTTATACAAAGGACTTTTCACGACGGGTCAGGGATGGGGCTCTCGGGGAATTGCTGTCTTCTTCGTTCCTTTTTCCTACTTTCCCTTTCTTTTCTTCTTCTTGCTTGTTCTTTCGTTTCTTTTCCTCTTTCAAGATCATTGCATCAGGCATGGATCGTGGGTGTTGGGAGAATTAGCGTTGGGTGATCACATCGTACTTAACGCTTCACTCTGGAGCTGAAATACGGATGAGAAGGATGATGAGCAGAGTGAGGAGTAAGATCGGAGGGTCCTGCGGGGGTGTGTGCTTCTCAGTCTGTCTGGCACCATCGGGCTTGTTGCCTCTTTGCCCAGGGCCCGATTTACCGTGTTCTTCTTCCTTAGGGCAGCTGAGCAGATGGACGCGCCGCTTGGGGGATGACGATTCGTGGATGTCGAGATGTCTTTGACCGCCCAGTTGGAGGCGAAATTGGTGGCTGAGAGACACCTCTGTTGACGTCAAAGGATATGTCTAGAACGATGCAAGAAAGGCGTTGGCTTATTCCAACTCCTTTTCCTTGACTTTCTTTCTTTCTTTTTCTTTTTTTTTTTTTTTTTACACACCTTCGTCGTTGGTTTTGCGTCTTTATTTTTGCGACTTCTTTGCTATTTCCCACGTGGAAGTTAGTGAGATATTGCTTCTGTTCCGGTTCATGTCTGACAAGCAGGACAACGCACGCTTAATCGTTTTCTTTCTTCTGATTGCTGACTAGCTAAATACATTTGTACGTTTGTACGGAGTACTTGATCCCCTTATGCACTCTCCAGTTGAAAATGGGGGGGAAAAGGGTGAATATAGCTAAGGCTAGTTATTTAGATATAAGCCGAGCACTCAATCTCGACATCAGTGTTTCGTGGAAGGGTTTTGACCGCAACACATGTTCGGACCTGTGTTAAAGGGGTCAGTGACTGGCCAGTAGCATCCAGACAGGCAGCTCTAAAAAAGAAAAATGCGAAAAAAAAAAAAAAGGCGAATGGACGAAGCTGGAGAAATAAGGTCATCATTTACCGGCTTGGGCTCAAAGTTAAGGACCTGCGCGTAGACGTCGTTGACCGCGGCGAAGTCATCCATGTTGGTAAGAAAGATATTGACCTTGAGCAGCTTCTCCAGGCTTGAACCTGCAGCCTCCAGTACTGCGGTGATATTGCGAAAGATCTGGGCCTGTTCGCGGTAAGTAAGTACATCGTCAATGACCATGCGGTGTCGGTCCAGTCCACCATCGTCCCAGTCCCGCCACCTCTCCAGCCCATATTACTGGACGGCCGGCCGTTTTTCTGCAGTGAGGGAGGGCGCAAACACGTACAGTGCGATCCTTTACGGTCCCTTCGACCAGCTCACGGGTAGCCGGATCGGTTCCAACCTGGCCGGAGCAGTACACGATGCCGTTGTGGACGATGGCCTGCGAGAACACCGGCAGCGGCGCGGGAGCCTTGTCCGTGAACACAGCCCTTTTGGCAGACATCTTCGCTGGTCTCCTGCTGTCTTCTTGCTGTCTTCTTGCTGTCCTCTTGCTGTCCTCTTGCTGTCCTCTCGCTGTCTGCTGTTGCAGCTGGCCAGGTAGCTACTGCGTCGCGACGTGGAGGAGGATGAGATGTCGTTGCCCGGCTAACTTAGTTGACTTAGTCAGCCAACGACCAACGACGTCGGCCTGACTTCATCGCGGCTCCACGCAGCCTCACCTTGTCAATAGCAGCAGCAGGAGAAAAGCCGACATACCCAGTCGCCCTGCAGGAAGCCTTGCATGGACCTGCTGGCTAAGACGAGTATCCGGACGTGCGATGTTGCGTCGTCTTTGTCACTTTTTGCAACAACTGCTTAACTAGCCAACGAGGCCAAAGGGGCCTGTCAGGTTCGTTTTCCGCCGCCAGGTACCAGAGCAACGAGCTAACCGTCCTACAACAAACCGCCCGCCGTCAAAGCCTGATCACCTACCCAGCACTACAGGGTTGTCTCTTGTCTCTTTTCTTTTTCTGCTTCTTTTGTTTTTCAGGTTGACGTTGGCCTGCGGACATCACGCCGGGCGTGCAAGCAGCCGTCGACGGAGCGGGCGGGGTTAAGGGCGAATATACATCGTCTGGTCCACATATATGATACATACATCAGCGCCCAGATAGGCGGACTTGAGAGAGCCTGAGGCCACGTCAGAGCCGTGCGAGAACACGACCGCTGGGAATCAGATATCCATCCCTAAAAAAGGTAGCAACCAGCATACCCTCCGTGTCAGGAGAAAGCCAGGCATAAGAGCCCAAAAAGAAAAAGAAAAAGAAAAAAAAAAATCCACACGATGACGTCGAACATCGCTTATCAACCGACTGCCGAGGTGGCCGACCTCAAGGCCTTGTACGTTGGTCGTATGTTGCAAGATGTTGACGGCCCCAAACCAGTTATCGACCGTGAGGTGGCACGCCGGAACTGCCAGGTGATGCTTGATGCGGCCCTCGCTTTGAACGTGGAATTCAGGGCGCATGTCAAGACACATAAGGTGCCGTTACATCCCCATTCACCCCCTATTTTTGTCTAATATAGGTGTATATTCAATCATGACACATGTGTGTATATGACGGTGAAGCATACATACGTATACCAGCAATCAGTATAGTGGGGGCCGTTTCCGTGACGTCCAACTGACTGACATGCTGATAGACAACCGAACTCACCCGCTTCCAAGTTGGTGAGAGGTCAGATACGGTACGGCTGGTGGCATCCACCTTGGTAGAAGCTGAGCAGCTGGTTCCGTTCATGAAAGAATGTCAAACAAAAGGGCGGAAAGTAGATGTATGTTAACTTCCCTTATAAAGGATGAAGGGGGCTTTAAGGTTATACAAAACTAGTTAGCTAATATGTCAACACAGTTAATCTACGGTCTTCCCGTTCAGCCGTCATGCTTCCCTCGCTTAGCTGAACTGGGCAAGGCGCTCGGCCATGGAGCAGTGACATGTCTGGTGGACAGTGTTGACATCGTCCCGTTTCTGTCCCGCTACCATGCCCTATGTGGGAAGAGGTTGGGCGTCTTCATTAAGCTGGATACCGGCTACGGTCGCGCTGGCGTGACTTACAGCAGTGCCCAATTCAATGCTATTGTCAGTGAACTCTACGCCCTAGAAGGCAAGGAGCCGCATCTTTTCACCCTTCGCGGCTTCTACTCCCACATGGGGCACAGCTATGGCTCCAACAACCCATCAGAGGCAATGGACTACCTTCGCACTGAGATAGAAGGATGCAAACTGGCTGCAGATCGTGCTTCAGCTATCCCACCGCCTACCCCTTTTGACGGGGAGACAAATTACTCTCAACGACGCTTCGTTCTCTCCGTCGGCGCAACGCCTAGCACAACCGCAGCACAAAACCTGACGGGACACGAGACCCTTTCTCTTCCAGGAGCAGACAAGGCCAAGGATCTTATCGACCAGACCAAGCAGAAGTATGACATTGAACTGCACGCGGGTGCGTACGTGACGTTGGACATGCAGCAGTTAGCCGCCCGTGCGCGGCCGAACACCTCACATCTATCATTCGATGACCTGGCGCTTACTGTTCTTGCGGAAGTGGGATCATTGTATATGCACCGCGAACACCCGGAAGCACTTGTGGCATGTGGTTCACTGGCTATAGGACGGGAACCGTGCCGTAGCTACAAGGGTTGGGGTGTAGTTACACCCTGGCGTGAGCAGCAGCAAGCTAATGACGCAGCACCAGCAGCGGATGAAAGAGTCGGCTTTTATAATCCAGATGGAGACAAAACGGGATGGATACTGGATCGTGTAAGCCAGGAGCACGGAATTTTGCGCTGGCATGGATCACGACAGAACATGCGGCCTTTGCGAATTGGTGAGAAACTGCGCATTTGGCCGAATCATTGTTGCATTTGCCTTGCAGGGTTCACTTATGTGCTTGTTGTTGATTCGACAGCCCAGGGAAGCGAGAAGGATCGCATAGTTGATGTTTGGCAGAGCTGGAGAGGGTGGTAGATGAGACTCCCGGACATACGTGTGTAGGTTGTATGTATGTATATGCAAGCTATTATTATATAGACTGGGGGCTTTTCGTACCGCATTTAAATCCCGCGCTCTATATCTAAGATGTGGCGACGGCAAGGTGCATAAAAACTACAGGAGCAATATAAGATTAGCTATCAATATAACTACTTTTATTGTCTTTCTTTGAATAAAGGAAACATAATTGAACCGACTACCTGCTGTGACTCGTTACACATGATTGACTCAGTTGGCTGTCGTCATATTGCTGTCATTCCAACCCTAATCAAGGAAGCTCGCAGCAGAAACAATGTCAAAAAGAAGTGACTCCAGTCGTTCAAACTCCAAACGCTAACTATGCATGTTGTGCTGCGCTGCGCTACGCTGAGGGTTAAATAAAAAGTTTCCAAATAATAAGAATCAAGAATGAAGAACCAAGATACAGCAAAAGCAAGTCCGTGCGAGTGGTAAGAAATAAGCACGAAGCAAAGGGGCGTGCAGTGCGTACTAAAATTGGCAAAAGGTGAAAACGAAAGGAAAGGACGAGCATGGTGCGATGACAGAAGGAAATAAAAAAAAAAAAAAAGAAAAGAAAAGAAAAAGAAAAAAGCAAATCATATCTCGTTATGCACACTTAAGATCTATTCATCAATACGAGGAATCATGGTGATTATACCGCCAGAAATATATCAAACGGCATGAGATCATCATTGACCTGGTAGATATGAAAAGAGGAGAAAAACATAAAACCATCACTCATACCTCGGAATCTAAAAAATGTCTTCAGGCCACTCGAATTCGCCGTCTTCAATCAAGGGACTGCCTCCGTGCTCTACCGGCAGCGGAGGAACAGGCGGGATATTCTCATCACCCCCCTCCCCTGGGGTAATGCTGATAGGCTTCTCATCAGCTTTACGACGCGGTGAAATGTTGTGGTGCTTCCTTGGACTGCTAGATCGGCTTATGATGCCCTTTGTTGCTGGAACAGATTCTGGGTGTGGGGGTGGAGTTGAAGCAGTATTTGCGGTTGCATCTGCGGTTTGCTTTTGATTCGATTTTTGCCTGGAGGCTGGCGTCGGTGGTGGTTTGGTAGAAGATGGGATGTGAGGGGCGACTGAAATTGGGATGGCTACTTCCACTGGTGCATAGGGACCACCGTGATGGGGGGGAAGGGCTGGGGTAGACTTGGGGATTGGTGTTTTGGTTGGGGCTGGAGCTGGGGTTTGGTCGTGCTTGGGTCTGGATTCGGATCGTTCGGGGACAGGGACAGAGCGTCTTGTCAAATCATAATTTGGGTAGTAAACTGGCTTGATCTCTTTGGCTCTGCGAGAGGGCTGATTACGCCGGCCTTCTGTCTCTGTACGTGCATTGACAGGGTATGGACGGGGTCCTGTTAGCTTTTCAGTTGAGACACGGCGGTTGGGCTGCGGCGAAGGCGCAGGTGAGGCGCCATCATAGCTGTCATTAGCATGGTCGCTATTGCTGTTGCTCCGTATGTTCTTGCTATAGGTGGCAGAGATCCGACGGCGGCGGATACTTGCATGATCGGGGGAAGGAGACTTGCGTTTCCGTGAAGGAGGTGTGTTTGCTCCCTCTATGGCCAGGTTAGTGGTTGTGGCGGCAGGCGTCCGAGTAACATCTTCTTCTCTAATTCGTGGGACCGCCCGTCTCAGTCGTGGTTCTGATCTTCTCGTATAGATGGGCTTCTCAGGACTAGCCTCTTGCCTTGAGACTTCACGAGTGGTGGTAGGCTCTCCATCGTCAAGCAGGAGTCTCTCTGAGGGAAGAGAGGGCAAGGCACCTGGAACGAACTTTTTGGATCTCATTCGCATGTGTCTCATATCATTGCTTGGAGGAGCGGGAGATGGAGCTGAAGGAACCGAGAGGCCGACCGTAGCATGGGGATAAAGGTGATGAGTTACATGATTATTAACCTGAACAGCGAGGCCCGCATGTGCATCTCCTTCAAGCTCATCCACTTTTTTATCCTCATCGTGTGCAAAGGTGCTGAGCTCGCGTTTATATCTCAAGAGCTTCTCCTCAAGATTGCTAACCTTCTTCCTCAGCTTGTTTTCTCTTGCAAGGTCTTTGTGTGACTGCTCCTTTCGGAGGGAGTGACTGAGATTTAGGAACGATCGAGAGCCCTTGACTGTCTGGAAGGAGGAGCGTTTGGAGACGGTAGAAGCCGGCAGACCTTGCCATTCAAGTGGTGTAGGTGGCAGCTCCTTGCTGATGCTGGGTTGGGTCGAAGCACTTGGGTGATGAGACAGCTGCGGTTGTGGTGTCTGAACGGGAAGCAATTTTTGTGGGCTGGCAGTGTTCTCCCCCGAATAGCCATATCTGTGTAAGGGGGCGGTTGAAGGAGTGGCGCTCCTATAGGCCGCCGAAGCCTTGTATTCCTGGTATGCCTTTTCGATGCGTGCGGCATGAGGTGTGTCGACCGGCATCTCTCTTGAGCCTGACCCCTTGGATGACGAATCATGGCCCTTCCAAATTTCAGAGACGTTGCCCCATACACCCATGGGATTGATAGCGGAGACAATAGCCTTCCCAAAGCGGAAAACACCTGATGATTTGGCGTCAGATGCATCAGTTTTGTTTGTTTTGGCGGAAGAAAGAGACCCTTTCTTGCCCTGTAGCGAGGGAGTTGCAGGAGCCCGCCCGCCTGTAGTAGGCTGCCACCCGTTGACGCCTTTTCCGCCGTTGTGCTCATCCATGTATGTTGAGAGTAAGTACTCTTGTTCCTCGCCAATAAAAACAGATGGCGGACGTGTGCTGACCTTGTCGTTCATACTTCCTTCCAGGAACCGGGACTGGCGTTCCTGCCTATCCCTAAGCTCCGTTACGTCCTGACCTCTGCGAGAACGAAGAGTCGGCTGTTCAGGAAGCTCCCTAGACACCACACGCTTTTGAGGCGATGATGAATGGTATGAACCGGCAACGTCAACGCTGTAGCGATCCCTGCTGGACTCACGGAGACGATGCGAAGGCGTAGAGGCAGAAAGGATATCATCACGTCCGGCAGCAGTCTCTAGGTATGGGTATGGATATGTCTTGCGTTTTGAAGGCCCCGTCACAACTGCCCGACCACGACTGCTGCTACTTCCGTACCTCCTATCGTAGTACGGGCTTCCATGGCCATCCTCCACCAGCGAGGCATCTGCTGCAGCAGCCTGAGCAGCAGACTGCTGTAGGGTGTCCTCTAGCTGGCGATCAACATCAACTTCATCGCCCTGCGCTCAAATAGTCAGTTTATACGTGTTAATGTACCAGTAGCCAGTGCGACCACACAGGACACCACATTCACAACAACCGTCAAGAAACGACATAATTTCCCAGATGCCAGGGCAAAGGAGGCAGCATAGCCTGGAATTATCTCAAGTTATACTGGATTCTGTGCATGTTTTCGAGTCGTATCTACGTCTCGCTGTTTTGGTTCTGTGGCAGCCCTGGGTCCTGGTAACGCGAACCAGATAAACAAACAAATGATCACTTACATCGCCCGTTTTTGCCCGTCGAGGCATCTTGACTCTCGTCCGCGAGCTCGTTTATCTAGAGTAACATCGACTGAAACCAGTATCATCTAAGTATATTAATGTCCGTTAGCTAAACCAGTTTTACCCGCTGGCCTGGTTGGTTTTTTGTTTGTTTGTTTGTTTACGCAGTGGAGAGATGGCAACGCGTTAGTGCGCAAGTAGATAGCAGAGCCGACATACCAGCAACGACACCGGCGGCGACGTCAATAAAGAGACAGAGACAGTGAGAGAGAGATAGGATGATATAGCGTAGGGAGGCGAGCAGGAAAGCCCCCGACTCTGTCTGAATTATGGGCTAGATGGGACCGGAGCTGGACTCGAGACTCGGCTCGAGGTTGCCTCCCTCCCTACAGGCCAGGATTTGGCGTTGCTGGCAGGCTGTGGCAGGTTTGTGAAACACCGGGGACCGACTTTCGACTTTCGACCTCGAGACGAATATAATAATGACGACGGAGATGGTGAAGGGAAGAAGGCGAGGCTGATGGTGAAGTTGGCGATGTTGACCTCTTTGACGTCTGGATGAAAGAACGACAACGACAACGACCACAACCTCAGCAGAAGAACCAACGTCGAGTCAAACGTCCACCAGTCGGCAGGAGAAGACACCAAAGCATCCAACGCCCAAACAGCAGAGACAGAAGCAGCTTTTAAAGCGACATCCGCGGCTCGCCGACCAGACAGACACCCAATTGAAGTACAACCCGACCCCCACGCTCGGATAAAAGAAAGACGAAAGAAGGCGAAGAGCTAGAAGAAACCTCAACAAGCGGAGAAGACGAAGGTTAGTCCTCGGCGGAGGCGCGGCTAGTGGAAGCTGGCCCAGCAAGGGGCAAAAGGGCACAGTAGGAGGCAGTAGAGACGCCGCAGGGACAAGGGGGAAGTTGGCAGGGCAGCCAATTACACTGCAGATGAGTTCCTCTCTTGCGGTTGCATAGATGGCTACAGGTAGAGTGGGCGAGTGAGTACTATACAGGTGTGCTTGTGGTGAAACGGCTGTTGCTGACTTTCTGTTTTCTTCTTTATATTCCCATTTGTTCAATGTACGTACGATATGATATACCTAAACAAACACACAGGAAAGGACATGGACGGTAAGAAGAAGAGAGAAAAAAAAAAAAAAAAGAAAAGGGTATTAAACAGGGGAGAGATGGAGGAACGGAGAAGAAAGCTGGGCCAGACTGAGCTGCGTAGGGCTGGGATGATATACTCATTCAGATTAGATAAAGAAGAAGAACGACTGGGAAAAAAGAAAGGAACTCTGACTGCATCTGTCCAATCCAACATGGCATTTTTTGGCTTTTCACTATTCATTCCAATCTATTGGACTCGAGTTGTCTGCGGCCCCTGTAACATTGGCAAGGGTGTGTTTGTGTTTGTGTGTGTGTGTGTGTGTGTGTGCGGAGAGAGAGAAAAAGGGTCGCGGGAAGGGGTG